ATGGGGGCCCTGGGGATGGGGTCCATGGGGATGGGGGCCCTGGGGATGGGCTCCCCGGGGATGGGGTCCCTGGGGATGGGGTCCATGGCGATGGGGGTCCCTGAGGATGGGGTCCCTGGGGATGGGGTCCCTGGCGCTCACCCAGGATGCGGTCCCCGAGGCTGATGGGCTGGGAGGAGATGGGGCCCTGGCGGTGGGGGCGGTCGGGGGGCACGAGCGTGGCCTGGCACACGTAACCCGTGACCACGCGGCGCCGCGCCTCCGTCACGTTGTCACTGCAGGCGGCCGCCTTCCGGCCCTGCCACAGCACACGTGTGGGCATGGCCGTGGGGACAGGAACATACGTGTGTGTGAACATACGTGTGTGTGTGAACATACGTGTGTGTGAACGTGTGTGAACATACGTGTGTGGGAACATATGTGTGTGTGAACATATGTGTGTGTGAACGTGTGTGAACATATGTGTGTGTGAACATACGTGTGTGTGAACATACGTGTGTGTGTGAACATGTGTGAATGTGTGTGTGAACATGTGTGTGTGAACATGTGAACATGTGTGTGTGAACATGTGTGAACATACGTGTGTGTGAACATACATGTGTGTGGACGTGTGTGAACATACGTGTGTGTGAACATACGTGTGTGTGAACATACGTGTGTGTGAACATACATGTGTGTGAACATGTGTGAACATACGTGTGTGTGCGTGTGAACATGTGTGTACATGTGTGTGAGCATACATGTGTGTGAACATACATGTGTGTGTGAACGTGTGTTGTGTGTGTGAACGTGTGAACATACGTGTGTGTGAACGTGTGTGTGTGTGTGAACATGTGTGTGAACATAGGTAGGTGTGTGTGGGAACATGTGTGTGTGAGCATGTGTGTGAACATACGTGTGTGTGTGCGTGTGAACATGTGTGTGTGAACGTGTGTGTGAACATGTGTGTGTGAACATGTGTGAACATGTGTGAACGTGTGAACATGTGTGTGCGCACACGTTCAGACGCACATGTTCACCCACATGTATGTTCACCCACACACGTATGCTCTCTCTCACACACATTCTCTCACACACGTTATGCTCACGCACACACACACACGTGTTCACACACACACGTGTTCTCTAACACGTGCTCTCTCCCCCCAGCTGCTCGCTCTCCCTCCCACCTGCTCTCTCCCTCCCCACGTGATCTCTCCCCCCACCACGTGCTCTCCCCCCCCCCCACGTGATCCCGCCCTCCCTCCCCGTGCTCCCCGCACCTGCGGCCCGCAGAGGCTGACCCGGAAGTGATGTGTGTATCTCCGCCCGCGGTGTGTGAAGGCCGGGCCCGTGCTGAGCCCCGCGGCCGCCGCCATCTTGGGGAACTGAACGGAGGAGGCGGCCCCGCAGCGGCAGCGCGGCCGAGCAGTTGTTGAAACAGAGCGAGCGGAGCTGCGCAGAGCGGCACCCACCCGGAGGCACCCAAGCCGTGGGCGTCATCACCCGTGGGCATCACCCCGTGGATCCCAACCTCATAAACATCACCCCATGGACATCATCCCATGGACATCATCCCATGGACATCATCCCATGGACCCAAACCTAATGGACATCACCCCGTGGATCCCAACCTCATAAACATCATCACCCCATGGACATCATCCCATGGACCCCAGCCTCACAGACATCACCCCATGGACCCAAACCCCATGGACATCTCCCATGGACCCCCATCCCATGGACATCACCTCATGGACATCACCCCATGGACATCATCCCATGAACCCAGACCCCATGGACATCACCTCATGGACCCCAGCCTCACAGACATCACCCCATGCACCCAAACCCCATGGACATCTCCCATGGACCCAAACCCCATGGACATCTCCCATGGACCCAAACCCCATGGACATCTCCCACGGACCCCCATCCCATGGACATCACCCCATGGACATCATCCCATGGACTGCCGTCCTATGAACCCAGACCCCATGGACATCACCTCATGGACCCCAGCCTCACAGACATCACCCCATGCACCCAAACCCCATGGTCATCACCCCATGGACCCCCATCCCATGGACCCAAACCCCATGGACATCACCCTGCGGAACCCCATCCCATGGACCTAAACCCCATGGACCCAAACCCCATGGTCATCACCCCATGGACCCCCATCCCATGGACCCAAACCCCATGGACATCACCCCATGGACCTCCATCCCATGAATCCAAACCCCATGGACACCATCCCATGGACCCAAACCCCATGGTCATCACCCCATGGACCCCCATCCCATGAACCCAAACCCCATGAACCCAAACCCCATGGTCATCATCCCATGGACCCCCATCCCATGGACCCCCATCCCATGGACCCAAACCCCATGGTCATCACCCCATGGACCCCCATCCCATGGACCCAAACCCCATGGACCCCCATCCCATGAATCCAAACCCCATGGACACCATCCCATGGACCCAAACCCCATGGTCATCACCCCATGGACCCCCATCCCATGGACCCAAACCCCATGGACATCACCCCATGGACCCCCATCCCATGGACCCAAACCCCATGGTCATCACCCCATGGACCCCCATCCCATGGACCCAAACCCCATGGACATCACCCCATGGACCCCTATCCCATGAACCCAGACCCCATGGACATCACCCCATGGACCCCCATCCCATGAACCCAGACCCCATGGACATCACCCCATGGACCCCCATCCCATGGACCCAAACCCCATGGACATCACCCCATGGACCCCCATCCCATGGACCCAAACCCCATGGTCATCACCCCATGGACCTCCATCCCATGAACCCAGACCCCATGGACACCATCCCATGGACCCAAACCCCACAGACATCACCCCGTGGACCCAAACCCCATGGACATTACCCCATGGACCCCCATCCCATGGACATCACCCCGCGGACCCCCATCCCATGAACATCACCCCGCGGACCCCCATCCCATGAACCCAAACCCCATGGACATCATCCCATGGACCCCCATCCCATGAACCCAGACCCCATGGACACCATCCCATGAACCCAAACCCCATGAACATCACCCCATGAACCCAGACCCCATGGACATCACCCCATGGACCCCATCCCATGAACCCAGACCCCATGGACATCACCCCATGGACCCCCATCCCATGAACCCAAACCCCATGGACATCACCCCATGGACCCCCATCCCATGAACCCAGACCCCATGGACACCATCCCATGGACCCCCATCCCATGGACCCAAACCCCATGGTCATCACCCCATGGACCTCTATCCCATGAACCCAGACCCCATGGACATCACCCCATGGACCCCCATCCCATGGACCCAAACCCCATGGACATCACCCCATGGACCCCATCCCATGGACCCCATCCCATGGACCCAGACCCCATGTCCCCCCCCTCCCCAGGCACCTGGTTGCTGTAGGTGCCGGGCCCGCAGGGGTGGCAGGCGGGGAGCCCATCGGAGGGGTGACCCCGCAGGTAGGTGCCGGGGGGGCAGGGCCGGCAGGCGCCCGCCCCATGCTCCATGACGTGCCCGGGGGGGCAGGGGGTGCAGGACCCCGCGGCCTGGGGGCCGCAGCGCCGGCAGAAGGAAGCCACCCCCCCGAGGACGTTGGTGACGTTGATGGAGTAGAGCTTGGCCACGTCGCTGGTGTAGCGCCGGCCCTGGCAGGGACAGCACCCGTCACCCATAGCACCCGATGGGGATGGGGATGGGGATGGGGGACACCCCATTCCTCACCTCCTCGTGGTACGGGGTGCGCTGGAAAGCCCACGTGAAGCTCATGCTCGCGTTCTTCTCCACCACGTACGTGTAGGACTGCTTCCCCCGCGGGCCCGTCCACGTCTCCACCGGGGTGTTGGTGTGGGAGTTGATGCCCTTGGGTGGGCGTGCGGCAATGGTGGGACCCCCCACCCCACACATACACCCCCCAAAGTGTGTGTGTGTGTGTGTCCCCGCACCCCATAGCCGGGTCCCACCGCTCACCACCATGAAGTAGAGCTCGCAGTTCACGCTGCAGATCATCTCAAAGACAAAGGTGATCCTGGCCACCTCCTTGCTCTCCGCATCCTCCAGCACCGGGCTTGGGGGGCTGAGGACAGCACGGGGTGGGGGGACAGCGGTGGGACCCATGGGGCTGCATCCCCATCCCTCTGTGGGTGCTGGTGCCCCCCCTCCCCACCTCACCTGAAGCCGGGCACCACCAACGTGAGGATCATGAAGTCGTTGTCGGAGGCTCCGGCTGCCGTGTAGATGTAGTCCCCGGCCACCTCCCAGCCTGCAGGGACACGGTGGGGGCTCGAGGGGGTCCCCGGGCAGGGTCCCAGCCCTAGGGGCAGCCGGGTCCTACCTGCGATCCCCTTGTACTCGAAGTTGATGCCGCTCAGCACCGTGGTCTCCATGTTGGGGGGCAGCACGTTCCACCACTTGTACTCCAGCCCCAGCACCGGCTCCGTGCCCGCGGGGCAGCTCAGGCAGCCTGGGGACGGGAGGGGACAGCACGGAGCCGTGGTGGTACCCAACAGCCCCCCCCATGATACCCAATGATGGTGACATCTTGAGGGGACCCCAATAAGGCAGCACGGGGATGGAGCCCACCAACACCCCCCGGGGATGAGGTGATGACAGTGATGGGGACAGCCCAGCCCCGGGGTGGGCACAAGGCACCCAGGTCACCCCTTGGTGATGACGATGACAGCGATGCCCTTTCTGCAGCCATAGGGACAGGAGGGGAGAACCCAGCAGCGGGATGGAACCCCCCGACACCCTGAGGCCACCCCTTGGGGGGTTACAACGGAGCTGACATTGGGAGCCCAACGACCCAGCACCGGCACAGAACCGGGGTGCCCCGTTGGCCACAGCGGTACCGGAGCCGTTGGAGTAGGAACCCAGCGGGCAGGGCTGGCAGGCGGAGCCGTTGACGGCAGCGAAGCCGGGATTGCAGGGGGGGCACCGGGTCCGGCCCCCCGACGGCGGCAGCTTGGCCGCCTGCGGGAGCTCCTCGCTGCACACCTTGGGTTCAGCCCATTTGAACATCAACTGCGTCTGCGGAGCGGAGCCCGGGGGCTGAGCGGGACCGGGGGGGGACACCACACACACAAGGAACGGTGCCTCCCCCCCCCAAACCCCGCTTCCCCTTCCCGTACCTCCCCGTGCTCATCGCACGCAGAGTGAGTGTAGAAGTAATCCTTGTCCGTGCAGGGCGGCCGCGGCTTGCAGGAGGCTGAGCCGGGCTCTGTGGGGATGGGGATGGGGATGCTCGCATCACCCCCGTGTCGTGGCCGTCCCGTCCCCCCCTTCCGCTTCCACAGGGGGGAAGACGGGCACGATGTGGGGATGGGACTTGGGGGGGGCCGTGTCCCCGCTCACCCGCGTAGCTGCCGGGCTCGCAGGGCTGGCAGGAGGTGGCCCCTTTGCCCGAGGAGGTGTCGGCGGGGCAGGGCTGGCAGGAGGAGGAGCCGGCGGCGGCCGCGAAGGTGCCGGGTTTGCAAGGGAAGCACTCGGAGGTGAAGGCCACCCCTGGCACGGGACGGGGCTCAGTGATGGGGGCGATGGGGGGGGACCCCCACCATCCATCCTTGCACCCTGCACCTACCGGTGATGCCGATGTTCCTCACCAGCACCGGCTTGGGCACCTTGGACCACACGGAGAAGGCCGTGGTGCGCCAGAAGAGGACGTTGTTCCCGCGGCTCAGCTCCACCTGGATGGAGAGGGGTGATGGGGGTCAGCACCCATGGGTGGGGGGGTGAGGATTTAACCCCCCCCCCTGCCAGCACCCACCCTCATGGGGCATCTTCTTCACAGGGGATGGACAAAGGACCTGGGGGGTGCAATGAGGGGGACCCCCCACACACACACGTCACTTCCCCCCCCCATGCTCCTCACTCACGCTATGGAATTCCCAACCCTTCTCCGTCGTCCGCATCCAGCGCGACTCCTCCACCGTGGCCTGGCACTGGTCGTTCTGCACCTGCGGGAGTGGTGCCAGGATCCCCATGTGCCCAGGGACACCCCATTGACCCCAAGGACACCCCCAATGCACCCAAGGACACCCCATTGACCCCAGGAACACCCCAATGCACCCAGGGACACCCCCACTGTCCCCAGAGACACCCCCATTGTCCCCAGGGACACCCCCAATGCCCCCAGGGACACCCCCATGCCCCCAAGGACACCCCCATTGTCCCCAGGGACACCCCCAATGCCCCCAAGGACACCCCAATGCACCCAGGGACACCCCCATTGTCCCCAGGGACACCCCCAATGACCCCAGGGACACCCCCATTGCCCCAAGGACACCCCCTTTGCCCCCAAGGACACCCCCTTTGCCCCCAGGGACACCCCCAATGCCCCCAAGGACACCCCCAATGCCCCCAGGGACACCCCCTTTGCCCCCAAGGACACCCCCATTGTCCCCAGGGACACCCCCAATGTCCCCAGGGACACCCCCCTTGTCCCCAGGGACACCCCCAATGTCCCCAGGGACACCCCCATTGCCCCCAGGGACACCCCCAATGCCTCCAAGGACACCCCCAATGCCCCCCAGGGACACCCCCATTGCCCCCCAGGGACACCCCCATTGTCCCCAGGGACACCCCCATTGACCCCAGGGACACCCCCATTGCCCCAAGGACACCCCCTTTGCCCCCATGTCCCCAGGGACACCCCCTTTGCCCCCAAGGACACCCCCAATGCCCCCAGGGACACCCCAATGCACCCAGGGACACCCCCATTGACCCCAGGGACACCCCCAATGCCCCCAGGGACACCCCATTGCCCCCAGGGACACCCCCAATGCCCCCCAAGGACACCCCCATTGACCCCAGGGACACCCCCAATGCCCCCAGGGACACCCCCATTGACCCCAAGGACACCCCCATTGCCCCCAGGGACACCCCCAATGCCCCCAGGGACACCCCCATTGACCCCAAGGACACCCCCATTGACCCCAGGGACACCCCATTGACCTCAGGGACACCCCCATTGACCCCAGGGACACCCCCACTGTACCCAGAGACACCCCCATTGTCCCCAGGGACACCCCCATTGACCCCAGGGACACCCCATTGTCCCCAGGGACACCCCACTGCCCCCAGGGACACCCCCATTGACCCCAGGGACACCCCCAATGCCCCCAGGGACACCCCCATTGACCCCAAGGACACCCCCATTGACCCCAGGGACACCCCCAATGCCCCCAAGGACACCCCCATTGCCCCCAGGGACACCCCCAATGCCCCCAGGGACACCCCCAATGACACCCAAGGACACCCCCATTGACCCCAGGGACACCCCCATTGACCCCAGGGACACCCCCAATGCCCCCAAGGACACCCCCATTGTCCCCAGGGACACCCCCATTGTCCCCAGGGACACCCCATTGCCCCCAAGGACACCCCACTGCCCCCAGGGACACCCCCATTGACCCCAGGGACACCCCAATGCACCCAGGGACACCCCCATTGCCCCCAGGGACACCCCCTTTGCACCCATCACCTACAAAGAACTCAAAGACGATGCTGCTGTCGGGGTAGAGGTACTCGAAGGACACAGTCCCCGACTGCTTGAGGTTGACGGCGTACATGAGCGTGGCCGTGCACTCATCCGTGTTGGAGGCCACGTAGTCCCCCAGCGGCACCCACGTTGACCTGGGGGGGGGGACACGGGACATCCCCATCACCAGCATGGACCGTGGGGTGCTGAGGATGGTGCCAAAGGGGCAGGGAGGTGGTGCTGGGAACGGGGGCTTGGGGATGCAGCACTGCACGGTGGTCCCTGGAGGACACTGGCACTGTGAGAGGCAATGGGGAGGAGGAAGAAGAGGAGGAAGAGGAGGGATCCCACACCGGAGCTGCTGGATGAATAATGGGAGCGCTGCTGCAAGGAGGTTACATCTGCAAGTTGCATAAAGGCTGCAGCAGCCGCGGCAGCACCGGAGCCGCCGGTACCGGCAGGGTTGGATGGTGCCAGCACCAAAGGGCCCCGGTGCCGGTTCATGGCACAAAGGTCTGGGGACTCCCATGGGTGCTCCCGCTGCGAGGAGGGTTGGTTGCTGTGGGTGCCCCATGGTGGAAGATAAAGGTTGTGGGGATGCCCATGGGTGCTCCCTCTGCAAGGGTGTGGGGGTCCCTTGGGGCTGGGGGGAGCTCACCACCCATAGGGTCCTGGTAGCACCCTGTGAGCATCACCCCCCAGGGAACAGTGATGGAGGGAGTGGGGGGGAGCAGGAAATGGGGTGCTGTCCACCCATAGAGGGGTCACAGCACCCATCCTGCTCACTGCTGCACCGTCACCATTGTGCCAGGGCAGATGAGCCCCCAGCAGCACCCTGGGGGGGGGAAACTCCTCCTCTGGAGGAGCTGGACCCGATGATCTCCAGAGTCCTTTCCAGCCCCATTGATGCTGTGGCCGTTCCCAGCCCCACTGACGCTGTGACCCCCTTCTAGCCCCACTGATGCTGTGACCATTCCCAGCCCCACTGATGCTGTGTCCCCCTTCCAGCCCTGCTGATGCGGTCACCCCCTTCCAGCCCTGCTGCTGCTGTGACCATTCCCAGCCCCATTGATGCTGTGACCCCCTTCCAGCCCTGCTGATGCTGTGACCATTCCCAGCCCCATTGATGCTGTGACCTCCTCCAGCCCCATTGATGCTGTGACCCCCTTCCAGCCCTGCTGCTGCTACGACCATTCCCAGCCCCACTGATGCTGTGACCTCCTCCAGCCCCATTGATGCTGTGACCCCCTTCCAGCTCTGTTGATGCTGTGACCATTCCCAGCCCCATTGATGCTGTGACCCCCTCCAGCCCTGCTGCTGCTATGACCATTCCCAGCCCCACTGACGCTGTGTCCCCCTTCCAGCTCTGTTGATGCTGTGTCCCCCCTCCAGTCCTGCTGCTGCTATGACCATTCCCAGCCCCACTGATTCTGTGACCCCCTTCCAGCCCTGCTGCTGCTATGACCATTCCCACCCCCACTGATGCTGTGACCCCCTTCCAGCTCTGTTGATGCTGTGACCCCCTCCAGCCCTGCTGCTGCTATGACCATTCCCAGCCCCATTGATGCTGTGACCTCCTCCAGCCCCATTGATGCTGCATCCCCCCTCCAGCCCCACTGATGCCGTACCCATCCACAGCCCCACCGCAGGCTCCGGCCCTCACCCCGTGCAGTTCTCCACCGCGTCCCCAAAGCCGTCATCGCTGTCCAGGCTGGTGGCGACGCTGGCGAAGCCGTGGGGCACCTCATCCCACTCGTCGAAGCGGACGCCGGTACCCAAGGAGTAGGTGCCCTCGGCACAGGGCCGGCACCGCTGCGCCTTCATGTCCAGGAACTCGCCTGCCCTGCAGGAGAACGCTGCACCGGGATGGGGGGACACACACACACACAACACAGGGGTCACCCCAATGTGGCTTCAACCCCCCCACACCCCACCCCACTGCTCCTCGCACCCATCCCGGCCTTACAGCACTCGGTGCCCCTGACGGGGTCCGGCAGCCCGGTGCAGAGCCCCGGTGTGTGCGGTACCGCCACCCGCCACCGCGAGCCCGCGCTGTCACACGCCGTGTACTCGTAGTGGTACTCGGACTGCGGGAGAGGAGACACACGGGGAGCTGCGGCCCCGGAGCGCTGGGGGGTGCTGGGGGGGGAGGTGGGGTGGAATGCATGCCCCTTCCCCCCAAGGAGAGCCCTCTGGTGGGAGCACCCTCCATTGGGAGCACCCTTCATTGGGAGCATCCTCTATTGGGAGCATCCTCTATTGGGAGCATTCTCCATTGGGAGCAGCCTCCATTGGGAGCACCCTCCGTTGAGAGCACCCTCTATTGGGAGCACCCTTCATTGGGAGCAGCCTTCATTGGGAGCACCCTCTATTGGGAGTATACTTTATTGGGAGAACCCTTCATTGGGAGCACCCTTCATTGGGAGCACCCTTCACTGGGAGCACCCTCCATTGGGAGCACCCTCTATTGGGAGCACCCTCCATTGGGAGCAGCCTTCATTGGGAGCACCCTCTATTGGGAGTATACTTTATTGGGAGAACCCTTCATTGGGAACACCCTCCATTGAGAGCACCCTTTATTGGGAGCACCCTCTATTTGGAGCACCCTCCATTGGGAACATCCTTCATTGGGAGCATCCTCTATTGGGAGCACCTTCCATTGGGAACATCCTTCATTGGGAGCACCCTTCATTGGGAGCACCCTCAACTGGGAACACCCTCCATTGGGAGCACCCTCCATTGAGAGCACCCTCCATTGGGAGCATCCTCTATTGGGAGCACCTTCCATTGGGAACATCCTTCATTGGGAGCACCCTTCATTGGGAGCACCCTCAACTGGGAACACCCTCCATTGGGAGCACCCTCCATTGGGAGCACCCTACATCAGCAGCTCCCTCCATTGGAAGGATCCTTTGGTGGGAGCACCATCCATTGGGAGCATCCTCCACTGGGAGAACCCCCCATGGGGAGCACCCTCCATCAAGAAAACCTTCCCTCAGGAGCACCCTCCGTTGGGAATTCCATCCACCTGAGCGCCCTCCATCGCACGGATTCCTTGCTGGGAGCACCCTCCGTCAGGAGCACCCTCCATGGGAAGCACCCTCCTTTGGGAGAGCCATCCCTTGGGAGCACCCTTCCTTGGAAGGCCCCTTTGGTGGCAGCACCCTGGCGGTGCCGCCGGCAGGATCAGAGCCGGGGCACTGCGACCTTCCGGGCTGGGCCTGGCTCCAGACCAAGGAGCCGCATCCAACCGGAGCCATTAATCCCGGCGAAGGCCGATGCCGCTGGCTCTGGCATCTCAGGGGCCCCCAGCCTGGGCTGGGGACACAGAGCTTGGGTGCCACCAGCACCCATGGGTGCAGCAGCAGCCCTGGCTCCGGAGGGATTCCCATGGGACGAAGGAGCTCGTTCCCCTCTTCCCAAACCTCCCCCCCCTGTACAAAAGCACTGAATTTTCCCTTAAATCCCAATCTTTTGACCCAATTCACCCTGGGGGGGGGGGGGGTGTTTGGGGCTGTCCCCAGAGAGGGATGGGGACAAGGGACACAATCCCCCCCCATGGGGGTGTTTCCTTGGGCCGGGAGCCAGCCCCATCCCATTGTTCCCGGCTCCGGGCTCTGGAACAAACACACGTGGAAAACCGGATCACAAACCCAGATGAAAGCAGCCGTGGGGCCTCGGGGGGGGGGACGGGATGGGGGACACCCCATGGGGTGAGCGGAGCCTCCCCCCCCCTTTCCCCTCACAGGACAATTTGTCCCCACTGGGCCAGGCTGGGACCAGCCCATGGGACATGGGTGACACCCCCCCCCCCTCCACCCCATTGGGGTTTGGGGACACCACGATGTCCCCCCAGTGTCAGAATCCAACCGGGATGTGGGGACTTCATGGACGCCCCCAGGATCACTCGCAGCATCACAGACACCCCCCCTTATCCATCCCATTGCTATAGGGGACCCTTTGCAGCACATCCCCCCCCCCCCCCTTTATAAGCAGCACAGCACAGCCCATACAGTCCCTATAGGTGACAGCCCCTCCATGGGACCCCCTTTTAGCAAGGGTGGAGCCACCCCAACTATAGGGACCCCCCCACACCTATAGAGGACCCCCCCCTCCCCGCTATAGGAACCCAGACAGACACTATAGGAGACCCCTCCGTGCTATAGGGATGCTCCACACTATAGGGAACCCCCAATGCTGTAAGGACCCCGCCTGCTATAAGGACCCCACACACTACACAGACCCCCACACTATAGGGACTCCCCCCATAATATAGGGACCCCCACACCCATTATAGAGACATCCCCCCCCCCGCTATAGGGGACCCCATACACCTTATAGGGACCCCACACACCCTATAGGGGACCCTACATCCATTATAGACTCCCCACACACACTATAGGGGACCCCCCCTCACCCTATATGGACCACACACACCCTAAAGGGGACCCCCCACAACCTATATGGACCCCACACACCCTATAGGGACCGCACACACCCTATAGGGGACCCCACACCTATTATAGAGACCCCACACACCCTATAGGGACCCCACACACCCTATAAGGACCCCTCACATCCTATAGGGGACCCCACACACCCTATAGGGGACCCAACATTCATTATAGAGACCCACACACACACCCTATAGGGACCCCACACACCCTATAAGGACCCCACACACCCTATAGGGGACCCAACATTCATTATAGAGACCCACACACACACCCTATAGGGACCCCACACCCATTATAGAGACACCCCCCCACACGCTATAGAGGACCCCACGCACCCTATATGGACCCCACACCCTATAGGGACCCCACACCCTATAGGTACCCCACACACCCTATAGAGGACCCCTCACACCCTATAGGGACCCCCCACACCCTATATGGATCCCACACACCCTATAGGGACCCTCCACACCCTATATGCACCCCCCGCACCCTATATGGACCCCATGCACCCTATAGAGGACCCTCCGCACCCTATATGGACCCCACGCACCCTATAGGGACCCTCCACACCCTATAGACCCCCCCCGTTCCGGTACCTCCTTGCAGACGTGAAGCCGCTCCCCGGCATTGCCGCTCCCGGCGGCGGCCGCCACGCTCAGCACCAGCAGCGCCCAGCGGGCCCCGGCCATGGCGCAGGATTCGGCCCCGAATGGGCCCCGAGCACCGGGCACGGGCTCCGCCCCCCCCGCTCAACGGCCCGGCCCCGTGCGCGCACCTGCGGGCACCTGCGCCCGCCCCCGCCCCGCGGCCCAGCGGAGGGAACGGGAACGGAACAACGGGAATGGGAACAACGGGAACGGAACAGCGGGAACGGAACAGCGGGAACTAAACAACGGGAACGGCGCCGTTATCGTGGGAGCGCCGGAGAGGGAGCGGCACTGAGCATCGTTATCCCGGCAGCATCCAGCATCGTTATCCCGGCAGCATCCGGCATCGTTATCCCGGCAGCGCCGAGCATCGTTATCCCGGCAGCATCCGGCATCGTTATCCCGGCAGCACCCGGCATCGTTATCCCGGCAGCGCCGAGCATCGTTATCCCGGCAGCGTCCAGCATCGTTATCCCGGCAGCATCCGGCATCGTTATCCCGGCAGCACCCGGCATCGTTATCCCGGCAGCGCCGAGCATCGTTATCCCGGCAGCGTCCAGCATCGTTATCCCGGCAGCGTCCAGCATCGTTATCCCGGCACCGGGAGCGTGATCCCGGGAATGGCACCAGGAATCACCCCCCCCACCCTCCATCCCTGCCTGGTACCGGGAGTGAATTCACACACACACACACAGACCCCATCCCGGGAATGGTCCCAGCTCATGTTTAGGGCAAGGGGCACCAGGATACGGGGAGATGGGATATAGGGATATGGGACACACATGGGAACATGGGGTGTAGGGAGATAGGGATATGGGACACACATGGGAACATGGGGTGTAGGGAGATAGGGATATGGGACACACATGGGAACATGGGGTGTAGGGAGATAGGGATATGGGACACACATGGGAACATGGGGTGTAGGGAGATGGGAACATGGGATATAGGGAAATGGGACACACATGGAAAGATGGGGTGTAGGGAGATGGGATATAGGGATATGGGACACACATGGGAACACGGGATGTAGGGACATGGGGCACACATGGGAACATGGGATGCAGGGAGATGGGATATAGGGATATGGGACACACATGGGAACATGGGATATAGGGACATTGGATATAGGGATACGGGACACACATGGGAACATGGGATGCAGGGAGATGGGAACATGGGATGCAGGGACATGGGGCACACAGGGACATGGGGACATGTGATATAGGGACAGGGGACACATGGAGACATGGGGATATGGAATATGGTATATATAGAGATATATATATATGGTATACAGGAATATGGGACACACAGGGACAGGGGGAGATGGGGACAGGGACTTCAGTAAAGCATTGACACTGTCCCCAGTGCTCTCCTGCAGGCATCGGCTGCCCATGGCCTGTTCAGGAGGACCCTTCACTGGGTGGCCAAGCTCAGAGCAGCGGTGATCGGTGTCACTTCTGGGTCCATGGGCTTCGCCAGTGGGATGAGGTTCCACAAGGCCAAGTGCCAGGTCCTGCACTTGGGCCACAACAGCCCCCTGCAACGCTCCAGGCTTGGGGAAGCGCGGCTGGAAACTGCTCATGCAAAAGGAGCTGGGGATGCTGAGTGATTGAGCTGAACACAAGCAGCTCGTGCCCAGGCAGCCAGGAAGCCCCCAGCATCCTGGCCTGGATCAGCACCAGTGCGGCAGCAGGGCCAGGGCAGGGATTGTGCCCCTGTGTTGGGCACTGGTGAGGCCGCACCTCGAATCCTGTGTTCAGCTCTGGGCCCCTCACTGCAGGAGAGACATTGAGGTGCTGGAGCGGGGCCAGAGAAGGGAATGGAGCTGGTGCAGGGCCTGGAGCACAAGTGTGATGGGGAAGGGCTGAGGGACCTGGGGGTTCAGTGTGGAGAAGAGAAGGCTCAGGGGGGACCTGATGGCTGCCTACAAGTGCCTGACAGGAGGATGGAGCCAGGAGGGGCTGGGCTCTGCTCCCAAGGAACAAGGGATGGGACGAGAGGAAACGGCCTCAAGCTGCACCAGGGCAGGTTTAGATGGAGCTGAGGAACAATTCCTGCCCCAGAGGGTGCTCAGGCATTGGAACAGGCTGCCCAGGGCAGGGCTGCAGTCACCGTCCCTGCAAGTGCTCACACCCGCTCAGTGCCATGGGGCAGTGGTGGCCTTGGCAGCGCTGAGTATAGAGGTTGGACCGGACGAGCTGAAAGCGCTTTCCCAGCCTGCTTGGCTCCATGATCCCACCGGGTACCGGGCGCACGGCTCAGGGTCACGGCTCCACCGCCGTCCGCACGGGGGCGCTGCAGGGCCGGGGATCCCGCGTGTCGCCGTGGTCCTCCCCCGGTGTGCGCGGCCCCGGCGTTGGCGGCGTTGGCGTTGGCCGCGGGTCAGACTCGGCAGCAGCTCAGCGGCTCAGCGCCTCGCCTATCTGATCGACTCATCCCGCCCGGGCCGGGGCCGCCGCCGCACAGCGCCCCGGGGGCAGGGGCAGGGGCTTCGCGGCGCCGCTCTTCTCATCTCGGCCGGGGCCGATCGAATAAGATCAACGTGTAGAGCCGGGAGGGGGGGGGGCACCGCGGCCTTGCACGCCCCTTGCACACGCACGTTCACGCTCACGCACACACACACCCGTTGCACACACGCAAGCTCACACGCAGCCCTTGCACACACGCACGTGCTCCTCTTGCACACGCACCCCTGGCACACTCACGCACACGTGCTCCCCTTGCACACGCACGCAAGCTCACACGCACCCCTTGCACATTCACGTGCTCCCCTTCTACACTCACGTGCCCCCCTTGCACACGCGCCCCCTGCACACTCACGTGCTCTCCTTGCACACTCACGTGCTCCCCTTGCACACGCACCCCCTGCACACTCACGTGCTCCCCTTCTACACTCACGTGCCCCCCTTGCACACGCGCCCCCTGCACACTCACGTGCTCTCCTTGCACACTCACGTGCTCCCCTTGCACACGCACCCCCTGCACACTCACGTGCTCCCCCTGCACACTCACGTGCTCTCCTTTGCACACGCACGTGATCTTCTTGCACACCCACGCTCACGCACCCGCCGCTCGCCCCCCGCCGCCAGCTTATGGCGCTCCCGCCTGGAGCACGATGGGAAAGGGCGTGGCAAGGCCCGGCCCCGCCCCCGCCCCACTGCGCCCCCTGGTGGTTGGGAGGACCCACGCTCCCCTCCGCCCCCTCGCACAATCACAGCCCCAGCCCCCTCTCCCCCCCGCATCGGAGGAGGCCACGCCCCACAACTACTGGGGACCCCACAGCAGCCCCTACCCTATAGAATCCCACAGCAGCCAGACCCAGCTCTATGGTACCCCACAGCAGCCCCTGCCCTGTAGGACCCCATAGCAGCCAGACCCTGCCCTATAGGACCCCATAGCAGCCAGCCCCCTGCCCTATAGGACCCCACAGTAGCCAGCCCCCTGCCCTATAGGACCCCATAGCAGCCAGCCCCTGCCCTATAGGACCCCATAGCAGCCAGTCCCTGCCCTATAGGATCCCATAGCAGCCAGTCCCTGCCCTATAGGACCCCATAGCAGCCAGCCCCCTGCCCTATAGGACCCCACAGTAGCCAGGCCCCTGCCCTATAGGACCCCACAGCAGCCAGCCCCCTGCCCTATGGCATCCCACAGCAGCCCCTGCCCTATAGGACGCCACAGCAACCAGCCCCCTGCCCTATGGCACCCCACAGCAGCCCCTGCCCTATAGGACCCCATAGCAGTCAGCCCCCTGCCCTATGGCACCCCACAGCAGCCCCTGCCCTATAGGACGCCATAGCAGCCAGCCCCCTGCCCTATGGGACCCCATAGTAGCCAGCCCCCTGCCCTATAGGAGCCTATAGCAGCCAGGCCCCTGCCCTATGGACCCCACAGCTGCCAGTCCCCCACCCTATGGGACCCCCAGCCCCATGGCAGTCCCTTTGCCAATAGGGACCAGCCCCGCAGCCCCTGGCCCCATGGCAGCCAGCCCCACAGCAGCGCCTTGACCAGTAGCTGCCAACACCCGCCCCTGGGGGGTGGCCCCAGGACTCCAGCCCCATGGGACCAGCCCCATAGCAGCCCCCCTGCCCCACACAACCACTGCTGCCCATAGGGGAGCCCCAGCTTTATTTCCAGGCCGTGCTCCAGCATTCCCAACGTGGGCAGTGACAAACCCATGGGCACAGGGGACAGACCCCCCCATGGATGGACATCCCACTGGCGGAGCGGGGGGGCCCAGCCCCACAAGTCCCCATGGCAGGAGGCTGCACCCCTGTGAGCCATTGGGTTCAGCATCAGGACAAGGTGCCCATGGGGCACAGCTGGGTCTGCCCCTGGTCCCATCGTTCACCCCAAGGGTGCAGAGGTGCCCCACAAAGGGGGGGTGTTTAAGGAGGGCTTTGGGCCATGGCCGCCCCCCCCATAGGTCCGGGTGGGCTGTGGGGCACCGGGGGGTGGTACCGGGCTCTCTGTGGCCGTCACCGCTGCGGGGGGGGTCACTTCACCACCAGCACGTAGAAGGCCATGAGCACGCAGGCCACAGCCACAGCCACGTGCAGGCGGGTGCCGATGACGGCGGCTGTGGGGGGCAGAGTGGGGTGAGGTTTTGGGGGGGACGGGACGGGACCCCCCCATGGCCCCATCCCAGAGCCACCCCCCCTGCCCTGGAACACAAAAGCCTCATCCCAGACCGAACTCTTCCATCCCAGACCCCGTGTCCCCAGCCCGAACCTCAACAGCCCCATCCTGGACCCCTGTGTCCACATCGCATCCCCATGTCCCCAAGCACATGTCCCCATCCCCATGTCCCAACCCCTGTGTTCCCATGTCCACATATCCATGTCCCCATCCCTATATCCCATCTCCCCATCCTCAAGTCCCCATCCTCATATCCCTTCCCCATATCCCCATCCCCATGTCCTCATCTCCATCCTCATAGGCCATGTCCCATCCCCACGTCCCCATTCGAATCCTATATCCCGTGTCCCCATCTGCATGTCCCCATCCCCATGTCCCCATCCCCATCCCTATATCCCGTGTCCCCATCCCCTTGTCCTCATCCCCGTGTCCCCATCCCCATGTCCAAATCCCTGTGTTGTCATCTCCATCCTCATATCCCATGTCCCCATCCCCATCCCTGTATCCCATGTCCCATCCCCATATCCTGTCCCCCATCTCATGTCCCCATCCCCATATCCCTTGTCGTCATCCCTATATCCCATGTCCCCATCCCTATATCCCGTGTCCCCATCCCCATGTCCCCATCCCCTTATCCCATGTTCCCATCCCTATCTCCCATGTTCCCATCCCCATCCCCCATGTCCCCATCCCCATATCCCATGTCCCATCAACATCCCCATGTTCCCATCCCCATATCCCATGTTCCCATCCCCATCCCCCATGTCCCCATCCCCTTGTCCTCATCCCCATGTCCCCATCCCCATGTTCCCATTCCCATCCCGATGTTCCCATCCCCATCCCCATCTCCCATCCCCATACCCCATGTCCCATCCCCATCCCCATATCCCATGTTCCCATCCCCATACCCCATATCCCATGTCCCATCCCCATATCCCATGTCCCCATCCCCATCCCCATGTCCCCATCCCCATGTCCCATCCCCATCCCCATGTTCCCATCCCCATATCCCATGTTCCCATCCCCATACCCCATTCCCATCCCCATGTCCCATCCCCGTGCCTCCCCGGCCCCACTGACCCTTGTAGAAGACCCCCCAGAGGCCGCGCTTCTCGCTCAGGAGCCAGCCCTTGATGCGGGGCACGTGGCGCAGGTGGGCGCAGGTGCACACCAGCAGCAGCGCGAACACCACCAGCCCGTCCAGGGAGTACACTGCGGGACACGCACCCCATGGGACACGCACCCCATGGGACACACACCCCATAGGGACCATAGACCCCATAGGGACACACACCCCATAGGGACACGCACCCCATAGGGACACGCACCCCATAGGGACACGCACCCCATAGGGACACGCACCCCATAGGACACGCACCCCATAGGACACGCACCCCATAGGGACACGCACCCCATAGGGACACGCACCCCATAGGGACACGCACCCCATAGGACACGCACCCCATAGGACACGCACCCCATAGGACACGCACCCCATAGGACACACACCCCATAGGACACACACCCCATGGGACACACACCCCATAGGACACACACCCCATAGGACACACACCCCATAGGGACACGCACCCCATAGGACACACACCCCATAGGGACACGCACCCCATAGGGACACAGACCCCATAGGGACACAGACCCCATAGGACACACACCCCATAGGACACACACCCCATAGGACACGCACCCCATAGGGACACAGACCCCATAGGGACACAGACCCCATAGGGACACAGACCCCATAGGGACCATAGACCCCATAGGGACACAGACCCCATAGGGAGTCATAGACCCCATAGGGACCCATAGACCCCATAGGGACACACACCCCATAGGGACCCATAGACCCCATAGGGATCCATAGACCCCATAGAGAGCCATAGACCCCATAGGGACCCATAGACCCCATAGGGAGCCATAGACCCCATAGGGACATAGACCCCATAGGGACACAGACCCCATAGGGACACACAGACCCCATAGGGACACACACCCCATAGGGACCCATAGACCCCATAGGGACCCACTGCCCCCCCACCGGGACCCACTGCACCCCATAGAGACCCACTGCCCCCCACAGGGACCCACTGCACCCCATAGAGACCCACTGCACCCCATAGGGACCCACTGCCCCCCCACAGGGACCCACTGCACCCCCACAGGGACCCACTGCACCCCACAGGGACCCACTGCACCCCATAGAGACCCACTGCACCCCACAGGGACCCACTGCACCCCATAGAGACCCACTGCACCCCACAGGGACCCACTGCACCCCATAGAGAACCACTGCCCCCCACAGGGACCCACTGCACCCCATAGAGACCCACTGCCCCCCCACAGGGACCCACTGTACCCCATAGGGCCCCACTGCCCCCCACAGGGACCCACTGCACCCCACAGAGACCCACTGCACCCCATAGGGCCCCACTGCACCCCATAGGGACCCACTGCCCCCCACAGGGACCCACTGCACCCCATAGAGACCCATTGCACCCCACAGGGCCTCACTGCCCCCCCACAGGGACCCACTGCACCCCATAGAGACCCACTGCACCCCACAGGGCCTCACTGCCCCCCCACAGGGACCCACTGCACCCCACAGGGACCCACTGCCCCCCCACAGGGCCCCACCGCCCCCCACAGGGCCCCACTGCCCCCCATAGGGCCCCACTGCCCCCCACAGGGCCCGACTGCCCCCCTTGGGTCCCCACTGCCCTCCACAGGCCCCCATACTCCCCCATAGGGCCCCATACTCCCCCATAGGTCCCCACTGCCCCCATAGGGCCCCATACTCCCCCATAGGTCCCCACTGCCCCCCATAGGGCCCCATACCCCCCATAGGGCCCCACTGCCCCCATAGGGGCCCACAGCCCCGGCCGCCCCTCACCGTTAGTCATGGCGGCCTCGGGACCCCCAAATCCGCTACGGGCCCGGCAGCGCTGCGCATGCGCGGAGCGCCATCCCCCGCCGCCAACGCGACACCGGAACACGCAGCGCGGGCAGCCGAGTGCCGAGGCAGTCGATAGCCCGAGCGCCGGGGGG